CAAATGATCTCGCACTAGTAGGAGTATGATAATGGTAAACGTTTTCAAAATAGTCAGCGAATAAATTGGCCTTTTGCTGACCACTTCGGTAGGTATGCTTGTAGTTTTTGCAGTACTCATAGAATTCCTTGCTACCTTTCAAACGAACTACCTTGCTCTCGCACGCGAGTTTCCATGAGATTTCTCGCTTGAACTTTCTGGCTAAAGAAGTGTACTTATGAGTGACACCCTAAAAAGAACCGATATCGGTAGAAATATGCTACTTTTGCACTTAATTTGTGTAGTTTTCTAAGCACAAATTCAGAGTGACGACATTTTCTTCGCAATGGTACAAACTTTTTGATGAGTTGCCAACAAATATCAGTAAAGCGTGTATAACGTTCGCTTGGACATTCACATCCAAGTATAATGGTACGCCATTCAAAAGAGTTTAGCTCTCGAATTATTTTAATGTAGATTGCTCTGTTGAAATCAAATGTAACTGTCATCTTGGCTTCCAAGAACGTCCTCAGTTTGATCTTTTGCTAAGGAATCCATTTTGCATCGTAGACAAAAGGTTATTCTGAGAAAGGTATTCAAGAATAGCTGGCAAACCGATCCTTTCCATCACTTTAATGTGGAGCATGTGAGTACACCTTACATGTGAGGCAAGTACGGTAATTGTTAACAGCTGCTTTAAGTCCTTTTTTGTGAATAGGTTTGACTAGACCAAAATTCTAAATTTTAGGAAGTTTCCCTTTCAATTAAACGTGTTGAACATTATTGGAAGGAGAGAAGTAACTTCTAGAGCAGCATTTTTCAAAAATATGTATGGACGTTAGGGGACGTTAAATTTTTTTAAAGGCGACGAAGTGTTTGGTAAACAAAATCTGTTGTAACTACAGTCCAGTCAAGTTTGATGTGTTCTACAATCCAAAAAGGCTAATTACACTGTGTGGTACCGAGGTACTAAATGGCGGCAACAAGTAGATGTCATAAATCAAGCGGACGTCAAATTTAAAGCGCATATTTTGATGTATCATTTTCTTCTGTGCGTTCCAAAGTAATCCAAGCGCAGCGGTACATATGAGACGCTGGCCGGGGCCTCCTCACATCTGCTTGGAGGGAGCATCTAGAAAAGTCTGAGCCCATGAGTTTCTCATATGGAAACTGATGAGGGATCTATCAAAGGCACTGCTCAAGCAGCAGGTGAGACTCTGTGTGGCAGAGGTTTACCGTTGGTTTAATTACTCAAGTTTGAGGTACTTTCTCTCAGCGGAAAGTACCTGGGGACTGCGCGTCCTCCACAAAGGACCGTGCGGCCCTCGAAAATTTTGCATATTCTCGCGGAAAGTCCGCGAGGATGCGGCCACTGCGCCGCAGCTAATCTATAAGGAAACCGCGGTTGTTCTCCCAGCATTCGTCTAATTCTTTGCTAAAATTCTTCCAAATATCTGCAAGCGGACCGCAAGAAACCATCGAACTATTTTTCCGGTGCCCGCCCGCCCATAAATCGCATGGCCGCCTGTCCCCGGCGATTATCTGAGCAGGAGGTCCGCAAACTCGCGCTTTTCTGCAGGCGGTCAACAGAATTTTGGGGCGTGGCCAAACCTTCAGCGGGCGGCACTTCCTTTACGGTCGTATATTCTGCCAGCGGGCAGCAATACAGCATTTTCTGCAAGCGCTCAGCAAATAATTTCTTTCAGTGAGCGCTGGCCAAACATTCAGCAAACGCTCGTACTCTTTTCAAGCAGTTTCGGGAGTACGCCGAGCAGTGAGACTCTATGTGGCAGAGGTGCCAGCGGTGGCTTAATGACTCAAGTTTGGGGTACCTTCTTTCAGCCGGAAGGTAAGTACGGGCTGTGCGGTCCTTCACAAAAGACCGTGCGGCCCCCGATAATTTTGTATATTCTCGCGGAAAGTCCGCGAGAATGCGGCCACTGGGCCGCAACTTATCCACAGAAAGACCGCGATAGTTCTTCGAGCATTCGTCCAGAATTCTTCCAAATTTCTGCAAGCGTACCGCAAGAAATCAGCGAACTATTTTTCCGGTACCCGCTTGCTCAAAATTCGCATGACCGCCTGCCCCCGGCGATTATCTGAGTGATTGGTCAACATGTCCACTGCTATAACGAGTTAATACTAATTCATTTTTGTACATCTTTCGTGTCCAACATGATGATAGGTTTCGGCACAGGTTTCGTACATGCTTCAAATTCAGAATTTTCCCCGTTCACTGTGAATGCAACTTGTTAGCTGCTCAGATAATCGCCGGGGGCAAGCGGCCATGCGAATTTGGAGCAAGCGGGCACCGGAAAAATAGTTCGCTGATTTTTTGTGGTCCGCTTGCAGGAATTTGGAATAATTTTGGCCAATTTTTAGACGAACGCTCGAAGATCTACCGCGCTTTTTCTATACATAAGTTGCGGCACAGTGGCCGCATTATCGCGGACATTCCGCGAAAACATGCAAAATTATTGGGAGCCGCACGGTCCTTTGTGGAGGACCGCGCAACCCCCAGGTACTTTCCGCTGAAGGAAAGTACCCCAAACTTGGGTAATAAAACCATCGATGGCACCTCTGCCACATAGAGTCTCATCTTTTCTCGACGTATGCCCGAAACCGCGTAAAAAGAGTCCGAGCGCCTGCTGAAAGTTTGGCCAGCGCTCGCTGAAAGAGATTGTTTGAGGAGCGCTTGCAGAAAATTTTGTATTGATGCCCGCTTGCAGAAAACGGAAATACCGCCCGCTGAAGATTTGGCCACGCCCCGAAATCCTGCTGACCGCCTGCAGAAAAGCGCGAGTTTGCGGACCGCCTGCCCCCGGCGATTATCTGAGTGTGTCAGCGGCGCCGCACGCGGCGAAAAGAGCATCGCGCGTGAAGGGTTCAAAAGGGCTTACACCCCCTATGCGCTGTATTCCAGGCAGCGGTCATGCGACGTCGCGTCTGCGTCAACTAGGTGTGGCGCGATGCGTGCGAACTCTGCAACGCGTTAAGGCATGTCGCATACGAAAGCGCGTCATCGCAAGGCATAGCGCAAGACCGATGCTGGTTGATGCAGCCTATAAGATCATTGCCTGCTTTGGGACCCATCACGAAAATGCATAACCGACACACGAAAGCATGAGATAACAGTTGTGCACTCTCAGATAATCGCCGGGGGCAGGCGGCCATGCGAATTTTGAGCAAGCGCGCACCGAAAAAATAGTTCGCTGATTTCTTGCGGTCCGCTTGCGGAAACTTGAAATAATTCTAGCGAAACTCTAGCCGAATGCTTGGAGAACAATCGCGGTTATAGTTTAGCTGCGGCGCATTCTCGCGGACTTTCCGCAAGAATATGCAGAATTTCCGGGGGCCGCATGGCTTTGTGGAGGACCGCGCAGCCCCCAGGTACTTTCCGCTGAGAGAAAGTACCTCAAACTTGAGTAATTAAACCAACGGTGAGACTCTGTGCTCGACGTACGCCCGAAAATGCGTAAAAAGAGTCCGAGCGCTTGCTGAAAGTTTGGCCAGCGCTCGCTGAAAGAAATTATTTGCCGGGCGCTTGCAAAAAATGCTGTATTGCTGCCCGCTGGCAGAACATGCGCCCGTAAAGGAAGTGCCGCCCTCTGAAGGTTTGGCCACGCCCCAAAATTCTGCTGACCGCCTGCAGAAAAGCGCGAGTTTGCGGACCGCCTGCCCCCAGCGATTATCTGAGCTATAGCTTACGATAATGAACAGGTTTACAAGAACTCGGAGGTGAATTTTTTGGTGAATAAACATTAATTTATCGCAGTTTGAACGTGAAGAACGCCCGTCCAGGTTTGCCTGGAAATTGCTTCTAAATAAGACTTCCCATTCTCAAGGGGCTTTTGGAAATACTGCTCACTTTCAGCATCTGTCGAAAATGTGCTTCCTTCAAACTGTTTTGAACGTTCAACTAACACATATTGCGCGTGCGAAGTTGGCATCACCACGTATCATCATCATTAATGCTTTCAAAAACCATGTGCGTCATTATGGAGCAGTTTCGACACAGCGTCACATATATGGAAAGTTTATCATCATATACGTCAGGAAAAGCACCCTCGCTTTAGACTCTGAACTTAGTCTACTTGTTATCCTCTCTGAAGCCCGCCTGCAAGAAAGTGCTCAGACATAAGGCATACGTCCGTCAGAAATGGTAAATCAACGCAACTTAGCAATTTCGTCAGATGCCTACAAATTTATTATGCCCTCAAATGCATAGGCGCCCTAGCTTTCGAAATTGTTGCAACCATATCAAGTCTTGTCTAAGCGACGCTTAGCATCAATACGAAACTAACAGTGCCAAATCGCGCAGCGACAAGATTCGCGTGAAGTATACCTCGGGCCTACAGTGAGAAAAGCGGCGCTTTTGGTTACAGGCTGCCCCAATCCAAACTAGGCCAAAATTGGCATGGCGGGAATCCGCGACGCTAGGGTTTCGCGGTCACGCCCACGGCCTACTTTTCTGCTCTCTCTTCAATTCTTTTGATCCCTCCGACAGCGCGCATATGCAGCGCAGACCGCTAGCGCTGCGAGCGCGCAAATTTACGCCGACGGTTCGGCCTGGTCCCAATTGGAGCAGACTGTACGTGGTAGGCGTAAACGAGCATCTCCGCATTTCTTCTAGTCAGGAAGAAAGGGGGGGGAGTTGTTTAATCGCCGCATGGCTTTCGTGAAATGTGCGCAGAAGACTTTTACGGCAACTGTGGCTAAACTCGCATTTTTTATGTCAAGTGTAATAGTTCTCATCCTTTTTCAAAGTTTTTTCTCATGATTTCGAGCTTCACACTTTTCTTGCAACGTAAACGCATTGCGAAACTTTCAGCCTATCCCTATGAACTTCGTGCAGACTTGCAACTCGTGTAGCTGTTGCTTTCAGCATAAACATTGGTGCACAGAATCAATCAAGTTTTGCATTTATAATACTTAATAAAGATTCAAAACCTTTTCACTTCTGCAATTTCTTTCTCCACGTCATCTTCAATGTGTTGTCTGCAGCGTCAATTTGATTCCAGATGCACTACGGCGTACTAGTGGCTCTTGTGCTTGGTTGTGCATCTGAAAAGTGTTCGATAGACCTCAAAGAATCTTTCCGAGGTTTCGCAAAAGATGCTCCCCCTTTACTAGTTGTAGCAATTGAAAAGCATTTGAACAAAAAATTGGCACGTTTCCGAAAACATGGCATTTCTTTCTTACAGTTTCAAAAGTTTAGAAGCAAGAAGATTGGATTGTTATGGACATTATTCACGAAGATGAGGGAACAAGTGTGATTGTTTACGTAGGGATTAAGTTTGGGTAAGTCCCTTTTCGCAGTGCATAGCACATTCTTGCAGACTGCTGCAGACTATTTGCTTCCTTCTACTATAAAGCGAGATTGTTGCCTAGCTAAATCATGCCAATCATCGAAGCCCATATTGCAAGTGTGCACTCACCCTGCAATTTGATGCGTAATCATGAGACATTGCGTGACTTTCAAATGAGTGAACATTAAGTTTGCATCATCAATCAATATTCATTTCTACTATCAAGAATAAAATTTTGATGTGCAGATCTGCTTTTACTGCATTACTTTATCTTATCTTAAAGTTGAGTCTGTTTGCCTGCATGTATATAAATCTATGCAATATTGCAAAAAGAAATCAATCTTCTCACGTTTTTTGGAAGCCATAAGTTTATTTATCACCTCTTCAATTATCACTTACGACAACTCCTCGCCTTTATCACACAAATGAGAATAATTGCACTTGAACTTGCTTCATTGCAGTTTAATTTGTAGTTTGTTCAATTCAGCCCGGGGCACAATGGCTCCTCAGCTACAATACCAGAACCGACTTAATGCAGATAAACTGACAAAAATGAGTACAGTCTTTTTCCCGGAGCAGGCGAAACATTCCAAGTAAAGCAGCGCATCCGCACTGCCACTGGCTCAGCGAGATAGATTATATTGAAGAGACGCAGAGTGCAAAGCGGACTCTCGCCAGTCCAATTTCCGCCTATACTGAGTTAAAACTTACTATACCTCCACATCACAGCACTTGCGTACATACAAAAGGGTAAACTAAAGATTTTTGGAATGACTACCCGCAAGCACCCATATTGCGAGAGGACGCGAGTGGCATGCAATTAACATATCCAGGGATGAATGAAACAACTGTAAGTAACGAGTTGATTTTCAGTCGTTACACCAGTCTAGGACAAGCTGTAGCTATCAAGTTCACAGGACCAAAGTTGAATAAAGCAAAAACAATGGATGGTCTCCAAGCGCTGAAGTTACTCATCCATTGCAGTGGCATGGATTATCAGACTGCAAATGGGCCAATGTCATGAGACAAGTGGAAGTGCATGAGAATGAAGTTTCTACTGATTTATATAAGATGTATATGTAAAAGCGATCATGCAAGGATGATACACAACAATCTGTTTGCAGATTCCGCATGAAATGTCAAAAGTTCAGTATGAAAACTCATTGGTATTCAAGTTCGAAAATTCTGGTTTACTCATTAAGAGATATTACCATCTAGATCCGTGATAAGGGCAAATTCTGCTCAACGCTTAGTACACCTCGTCCTTATCTTATAGTTCTATCGAGAGTAATGGGCAAGTCAAAAATTTGGAGAAGTTGCGCTTTTTCTATGGGACAAGTACGATATATTAATTCTAAAGAAAGTTGCTGGGCACTTTCGAGTTTTAAATCGCTGTCACTTCAAGCAGATTGATTCTTCTTCAAAGCTACAAACTTCACACAAATATGATTTTGTCTACAGCATATGTTTGTCTTGCTGGCTTTTAAAGGCAGTGTCCGGGCAAAAACTCGATTTTGAGATTTTGTGCTTATACGGGCCTATTCGCCATGCTGAATCCGAAAATCTACATTGGAAAGCGCGAAAACGGCGAAAAAGGGCTCTAATACAGGAGGGAAATCAGCAGGTGGGCGGGGCTTTCCCCAGTGCGATTTCACGCTCCCAGTTCCCGAAGCGATTTCCTCGATTTCACTAGCCGTCCTAACATCTCTACCGGCCAAGTGCGGATGATTGACTTGAAACCGGAAGCGAGAAGGTCGCTCCGAAAGCGGGGAACGTGAATTTGCAGTGGGGAGGACCCCGCCCACTTGCTCATTTCCCTCCTGTGTTAGAGCCGTTTTTCGCCATTTTCGCGCTCTACAATGTGCATTTTCGGATTCAGCGTAGCGAATAGGCCCAAGTAAGCACAAAATCTCAAAATCGAGTTTTTGCCCGGACACTGCCTTTAAGCACCTCACTGCGGTCCACCAGCATGCGCGGAAGGGAAAAAGGTTGACGCGAAGGCCTACTTGTGATTATCTCAGTCATGATGAGAGTTGGAGAGCTAGATGTTATGGGTATATAGAAGTTTGCTGGGGCTGTTATGGAGACTATATACCCTTTGAGCGACTGCCTGCAGACATTTTTTTTATAGAAAGTTTAAAAAATTGACCAATTTTTGCCCCCAAAAATGCATTAATTTTCGAGTAAGTGACTTTGAAATCTTCTCATTCTGCACAGGGCAAACCAAATCTTTGATTAGTGCGAGCATTGTTGGGGCAGGGCCTAACATCTTTTGGAACCATCATGCAAGCGTGGCGATCCCCGCAGAAGCGACGCCAGCTGCGAAAAGAGTTGTAGTCAGAGGCAAGTTTGACAGATTGTAGTTTCTGGGCAAATCGCAAAACTCGAGTGCAGCTGCGGGTCAGAAATTAACAGGTTCCTCAATCAAATCACCCACGATTTGGACGAAACTCTTTGAACTGCACAAAAAATGGCCGCAGGAAAAAAATGTGAAATTTTTATGGTTGGAAAGGATTTCTTTGTTAACGTGCGAATCAAACACGTTTTGACATCAGAAAAAATAAGAAGCGTTTTCCCGAAGTTTAGGCTTCCTGTACTGAATAGTTCAAAAAATTGATGTCAAAATCCGACCGAGCGCAAAAAAATGCGTCAGAAAATGAAATTTCCAAAAGTGCCCGAAAACTTTCTTTACAACCTAATACTTTACCTATCTTGGAAGGGTCTGCTATTGAAACTTGGATGAATACATACAAGGTCGAGCATCTGGAGCGATTGTCGCAACGAGGGTTTGTGAGGGGGAAACCTACGGTGTGGATCGCAAAAGTGGGCAGTTTGAGTAGAAAAAGTTATAGGCTTAGAAGAAATCGAATATTATTATAGATTCTTTATAATAATTTTATAGAAAGTTGTGTTTCAATCAAGTGGTTGAAGAAGTGAGTACATGAGATTGAACCTGCTGGCCTTACAAATGTCCAAAAAACGCTTTGAAAAGCTCTGAATATTCTCAAAGGTGCGCAAGTATGATAAAGATGGTAGATGTGCCGATGGCGTGAAATTCCTGATTAGGGAGCCTCACTGAAGCCTCACACTCGACAAAAACGCATTCTGCCAACGATGATCATTGATTTATAAATCTTTGTTTTCTACGACCATGCAATTTAGATGTACTCTAAAGATGGCCCACCACATTTGCTCAAAATCGTTCTTATTTTGTAGCTTGTGCATTTTCTTATACCCTAATTTCACGAGTATAGGACGCGGGGGATGTTCTTCTAAAATCGAAGAGCACAGATGCGCCAAACGACTTCGGGAGCAAAAAAATAATATACAGTGATGCATATCGCCTGAGAGTATCGTGCAGTGTAAGTCTTGTTTTCCGAAATAGATCGGGCAGCTGAGCGGCTCGCTTAAAAAGTTGAAAAAGGTGCGTATCATACTCGTGAAATTAGGGTAATTTTCTATATATAGCGACAAAAAATGAGAAAGGGGGTCGCATCTGGATTGCATTCAAATTTTATTGGAGCTATGTAAGTTTGTTGGATGCAATTTTGTTGTATTACGACGCCATCCTCCTATTCTTATGCTGAGATTTCGGACTGCGTTGCATCTCTATTGAACTACAATTTTAAGCTTAAAAATTCCATTTTTGGCTTGAGTATCGCATCTAAATTTTCTAGAATCGCATCTAAACTTTTCCGAGCTAACTGCTCCGCAATAGCTGCAACTTTTTCTTCAGTTGTCTGGGCACTTTACTTCACAAGCGTTCATTCCAACCTTTCCCTGACTTCAGTTATGAATCCTTGCACGTTTCCGATGTCGCTCGAGAAGGCGACAAAAAAGTTTTGTTTGCAGGAAAATCTATGCCAAGATTAGAATATAAGTTCTTTGGTTGCAAACAATCTTTACGGTGCAAAAATAGGACGTTCTCTCCCTGCAAAAATGGTGTCTCGTAGGGGGGTAGAATCCAAGACTATCAGTATAATTTGAAGCGTTCTAATTTCCAGACCCATAGTGATTGTCTTTCAGTACCTTCATAAGACATGAATGAGTTATGCCAAACTCTTTAGAATCGCTGAATAAATTCTTATCTGTCACCAGAACTCAAATTAGAATAATCATTTATAACGACTGTAGTGAATTGGCAGGTCACAGTTCAAATATTGGTATTAGATAAAACTGATGTTTTCCTTTGTCAACTAAAGTCTTTTCTATCCATTTTTCGCAAGCACACTATCAGCCAAATCTTTGTAAAATACTAGTCCTACTCACCCTCTACGCAGAATTTCCCGGGAAAATTTTTGGCGAAAAAATCATGTGCATTATCTCTCAGTTTGAAAGTAGATTCATCTTTTTTGACCTTAATTATGGTCCATTAACAGCCACTGTTTGAGGTTGACATCCTCAACGCAGGTTACCGCAAAAGCGTGGAAAGGGACACTTGACCTTAGCTGCATATCACATGAGAAATGAGATGATGAATAGTCAAAAATCACAGCTCGCATAATTTATCAGCTTGAAGCAAACGTTGTTCTCCGTCACGGTAAGCACGGGCTACTGTCTCAAACGCAGAACAACTTTAGCAGAATTCAAAAGATTGTCAGAACACTAATTATAATTATCCTCTGTACGATAAATTTTTCAAACCCATCTTTCACTTTGAATTTGTAATTGTGAAATGTTGCGCGCACCCGATGCAATTCTTTTGTCATCAAGAACTTCAGTGATGCTAACGACTAGCATGATAAACGTCTTGATATGAAAGTCCGTTGTAAGTAGTATTAGCTTGTTCTGTCCGATGTTTGTTGTTGTTGTTGTTGTCATTTGTTTGAACCTTCTAAGAGATTTTTGTCTTCAAAAAAGCTATTTCTATTTTTCAACTATTTTTAACTATTCTTTTTACTACCACAGCATAGCGCATGGTAGGAACAGATTTTTGAAAGTTACTATGAGTTAAGAAAACGTGCAAGTGATTTGTTTGTCGTAGATAATTAAAATAATTGGAAATTGAAAATTCGAATTGGCTTTGTAAAAAATTCCTCAGGGTCTTTTAAGTTATTTTGGATTTTTTGGGATACGTCTATAGTTTTTGTGGGTTCATACTTTAGAGAAAGATAGCGTGACGGCGCAAGCTCCCAAAAAGAGCTGCGTGACTGGTGCCGTGCACCTTTAGTCGAAAAGAAATTATTGTCCCCTGTCCTGAAATGGAAATGGGAGCGCGACTGGGGAACAGGGTCCATTCACTAACATAGTAACGCACAATATGGTGTGAAAAAAGGACATTCTCTTCATCTAGGGGAGAACTGCACCGCGTCTTCTGAACCCCCCCCCCCTCTCCCTCTCGTTAATGTGTGTCCTATTCAGACGACGTTGCCTGCACTTCTCCTGTCTTTTCTACGCTTCACATCAGCTAAGTAGTTCCTGAGGAGAAAACAGAGGTGCGCCCTATGTTGCTGCAACGGGGTTATCCCCCACGGTTGTGGTTTTGTTTGATGGGGCATAGCAGGCTCAGCAATATCGTCACAAAACATCGAATCGTGTTCACATGAAGTTGTTCAAAATCTACGAATATTGCTCCAAAAACGAAAATTTAAGTCCTGCGAGGTGCGTAGCAAGTGGTACGCGACAGCCGACCGCCGTCGCAGTCGGCCGCCGGAGCTGACGGCAAAGCTACAGATGGTACAATAATTATGCTCGTCGTCTAAAACTCTTGGTAAGAGATTTTTGGCACCTCGTCGCGCTGAGGTGCGATGTCAGCCTCAAGGGTATCTTGATATATTATACCATTTGATTCAACTGGCTTGGCTTCGGCAAAGGCGGGATTTCGTGACCTAAATAAGGCTAGTTGATGATCAGAGAGCACTCGCGCGAGAGAGACGCAGGCGTCGTGGGCGCGAGCGGTCTCAATTAGACCACAAAACCCCGCCCTAACGGAGCCAGGCCAGTTGAATCGAAGCTTACTCGATATTTAATCATTTTGAACAGCAAGAAATTCATAATTTTTTAAGAATCATGCAGATAAACAAA